CTCTACTTGCTTCATGAATAGATATTATCTCAGCATGATTTGAAGAAGTAGTAACAATTGACTGCTTTGTGGAGCGCCATGATATGACAGTACCTCCACATATAAATACGTACTCGATTTGAGATCGAGCTTTATGAGGATCAGATAAGTAACCTGCATCTGCATAACCAACAAGATCTGCACTACCTTTGTTAGCATAAAACAAACTCATATCAAGAGTTTCCTTTAAATATCGCAAAATATGCTTAATCTTATTCCAATGTCTCCGAGTAGGACAAGAGCTATATCTTGTTAGTAAATTAACAGAAAATGCTATGTCAGGCCTTGTAGCATTAGCAAGATACATAAGTGCACCAATTGCACTGAGATAGAGTGTTCCAGGACCAAGGAGTTCCTCATCCTCTTCTGGAGGTCGGAACAGGTCCTTATTCACTTCAAGTGATCGACCAACCATTGGTGTACTCAATGGGTGCGCTTTGTCCATGTAACAGCATTTTAAGACCCTTTCTGTTTAGGCAGATTGATGCATAAAGATCCTGTTTGCTAAATGTTCAATTTGCAGTCCAAAACAAAGTTTTGTTTTTCCAAGATCTTTCATCTCAAATTCTTTCTTAAGATATTCAATTGCCTTTTGGAGCTCTTCTAGAGTTCCAGCAAGATTTATGTCATCAACATAAACAGCAAGTATAACAAATTCTGATACCATTTTCTTTATAAAAATACATGGACAAATAACATCATTTATGTAACCCTCTTTCAATAAATATTCACTAAGGCGATTATACCATATGCGCCCAGATTGCTTGAAACCATACAAAAATCTTTGTAATCTGATTGAATATATTTCCCGAGATTTTGAATATGCTTTCATTTTAAATCCTTCAGGGTTTTTCATGTAAATCTCATTATCAAGTGACCCGTACAAATAAGTTGTAACCACATCCATCATATGTATTTCAAGTCTTTCACGTAAGGCTAAACTGATAAAATATCGAAATATTATGGCATCCATAACGGGTGAATATGTTTCTTCATAAACGACTCTAATTCGTTGTGAGAATCCTTGTGCGACAAGGCGAGCCTTGTATCTTTCAACTTCATTTTGGTCATTCCTTTTTCTCACAAAAACTCATTTATGACTAACTGGTTTTACACCAGCAGGTGTTTGGACTACTGGTCCAAAGACCTCTCTTTTAGCAAGTGCGTTCAATTCTGATTGAATTGTCCCTTGCCATTTTGGCCAATCAGATCTTTGTTGATATTCTTCGACAGATCGGGATTTACAATCCTCACTATCTTGCATAATGTTAAGTGCAACATTATAAGAAAAAATATTATCCACCACTATTTCAGATCGATTTAAATTAATCCCATCACCAGTAGAACTTATTAAAAGTTCCTCGCTCACTTGAGTCTCGAGTTCAGTGATTTCTTCAGGAATCTTAGAACTAATCAGATCTTGGGTCTCTTCAGGAGATCCCTTTATAGTATCGTTTTGATCATTTGTCGATTTTCGTTTTTGAGGATTTCGATCCTTAGAACTCAAAGGCCTACCACGCTTCAGGCGTGCTTTAGGTTCACTAGTTATTATGCTAGTAGATGGTCCTGCTGGGACATCAATTCGTATAGGCACATTCTTTGCAGGGCATTTGATTTGCTATATTTTGTAAATGGATGATCTTCTGGACCTCCTGATTACATATAGGAGTACGTGGATCAAAATGAGATAATGATGAAACTTTCGACATAATTTCTCTTTTGATTTCCTTTTTCTCTCCCCCTAATTGTGGGAAATTTGTTTCATCAAACCGACAATCTGCAAATTGAGCAGTAAATAAATCTCCCGTCAATGGTTCAAGATAGCGAATAATAGAGGGTGATTCAAACCCAACATATATTCCTAACCTTCTCTGCGGGCCCATCTTACTGCATCGCGGTGGTGCTACTGGCACATATACAGCACATCTAAAAATTCGTAGATGGGAAATATTTGGTTCATGACCAAAAACTAATTATGACGGAGAATATTTATTATAATGTGTCGGTCTGAGACAGATAAGTGATTCTGCATGCAAGATAGTATGTTCCCAAACAGTAGTGGGCAATTTTGTTTTCATAAGTAGTGGTCTTGCTATCAATTGCAGGCGTTTAATAAATGACTATGTAAGGCCATTTTGAGTATGAACATAAGCTACAGGATGTTCAACTTTTATTTTAACTGATAGACAATAATCATCAAAAGCTTTAGATGAGAATTCTCCAGCATTATCAAGGTGAATAGCCTTTATAGGATAATCTGGAAATTTTGCCCTTAATCGAATTATTTGGGCTAATAGCTTTGCAAATACCAGGTTGCGAGATGATAGTAGGCACACATGAGACCATCTTGAAGATGCATCTATTAAGACCATAAAATATCTAAATAACTCACTTGGTGGGTGAATAGGTCCACATATATCCCCATGTATACGTTCTAAAAAGGCAGGGGATTCAATGCCAACCTTCATTGGTGATGGTCTAGTGATCATTTTTTCTTGATAACAAGCATCACAAGAAAATTCATCATTTGTTCAGTAATTCGCCTCATCATTATTGATCCAGGATGGCCCAAACAGCCATGCCAAAGCACAAAAGTATTTGAATCAGTAAACTTCTGGTTTACGATNTTTCAGGGAGGCTTGATACAGCTCAACCGGGTGCTTTGGCGTACGACATGTACGTGACCAGTGCCCTTTTCTTCCACATCTATAGCATATATTTTCTGGCTTTGCTGCTTGCACCGCTTCATGCTTTTGTTCCTTCCTTTTCCACTGCTGGTGGTGAGGAGGGTTCTTTGGTGCATTATTATTACCACGATTAGAGTTTCCTCCCCGACCACGGCCATGACCACGACTGGGGCCACGTCCTCTTCCACGCTTAGCTTGGTGGAAGTTCGTCTCATTCACTTCAGGGAATGGACAAGAACCAGTAGGTCGGCTTTCATGGTTTTTCATTAATAGCCCATTATGTTGCTCGGCTACAAGAAGATGTGAGATAAGTTCAGAATACTTTTTGAATCCCATCTCTCGATATTGCTGCTGCAGGAGCATATTCGAGGCATGAAAAATGGTAAAAAAAATTTCCAACATATCATGATCAGTAATATTGTCACCACATAGTTTCAATTGGGAAATAATTCTGAACATAGCAGAATTATACTCACTGATAGATTTAAAATCTTGTAGCCTTAGATGAGTCCAATCATAACGTGCCTGTGGAAGAACGACCATTTTTAAGTGGTCATATCTATCTTTCAAATTATTCCACAATATGACTGGATCTTTAACAGTAAGATATTTCATTTTCAGGCCCTCATCAAGGTGATGGCGNTGAATATTATTTTTTTGGCACGGTCTTGGTTTGATGCCTGATTTTTATCTTTGATGGTGTCTGCCAGACCCATCGCATCAAGATGAATTTCGGCATCAAGCACCCAAGACATGTAACTTTTGCCCAATGTATCCAGGGCTACAAAGTCAAGTTTAGAAAGATTTGACATTATTTAGAAAAAGAAAGTTCGTACCTCTGATACTTTCAAAGTATTTTCTCGAGATGGCAGAGTCTCGTGCTGATAACGTGTTATAAAATAAAAACTGTAAAGTAAAGACAAGTATAGAGAGAAACTGATATATTATTCAAACTTCAAACTTATGTACATAATGAACTGAAAACTCCTCTATTTATAGAAGAAAGGAAGCAGTTGCGAGGCTTTTCAGGAAGCAGCTGCAAGGCTTTTCTTTAGCTACTTGTAAGCTGTCTGCATGAGCTGCTTGCAACCTATCTGTTTAATAAGAAGCTGCTGCAAATTATTTCATTGAGCTGCTTGCAACCTACCTGCATCAACTGCTTGTAGATAAACTTCAACAGAGTACTAAATGGATAATCTTCTTCAGGAAGATTATCTATAGCGGAGTAATAAATGAACATCCACAATATAATTATTTTCATAACAATCCTTAATTTCTTTAGCTCTTTTTGAAGCATTAATCTTTGTTTCAAATTATTATGAAAACAATTGTTTTCTAGATTTGTTCATCTAATATTAGAAAAATAATTTATTTGTTATGGCCGTTGTAATTTATCATATCCTTGAAATAGCGTGAAACTATATCCTTAGATCAGCAATTTTTGGAATTATTCATTTGGAGCAGGGGTGGCAAAATGGTTAAAAGAAAATAGTTAATCACCCATATTATCCACTAAAAATGGGTTGGATAATGAACTATTTAAAAACGGGCCAAATATGGATAAGAACCATATTATCCATTTAAAAAATGGATAACCAATGGATACCTATTGGGTTTAACTTTTACATTTGTAAAGCCTCAAACTTTAGGTTCCTCAAGTTTGGGAGACTAGAAATTCTTCCAAAAGTGATCATATTTATGAAGTCATGGATAATATGGTTACCTATATTATCTGATGGTTAATTCGTTTTTTTATCCGTATTAAATATGGGTCGAGCTAGATAATTTATCTGTTTTTTCATTATTCATTTTGACCAGTCCCATATCCTACCCGCCCCGCCCGTTTGCCACCTCTAATTTGGAGTTGTCATAGTATTCAAAAGCATATTAAGTGAATTGATTAGTGCAAGCATACCTTACCGTAGGCGCGCGAGAAGTTTGAACTAGTAATATAGAAACTGATCAAATATCTCATATTTGGCTAGAAAAATTATCGATTTTAAATGCTAGCTTAAATTCAAACTAGATGAGCCTTGCCTGTGCATAGCACAGGCCCAACATTTAGAATGATGATATAGTTTAAGGTTTGTTTCTAATCTTTAGAGAATCTATTATTTAAACCTTAAATAGGAACACATAGAACAACCATGATTTTAAAAACACAAAAGCAAAAGTTTCATCTTTAGTAAATAGTAACAAATATAAAAGACTACCTACTACTTGAAACACATATATTCAGAATGCGCATTCAGGAACAATGAATCTCGTCCCTCATTGAAATTACATCCACGAAATAACCATACAAAATAACTGTCAAAAGGCACTACTTGTTTATGACTTGGTTGCTGAAATATTTTCTGCTAGTAGTAGCTACAATAACTGCATGACTAAAATACCATAGATAAAAACATATAAATAGGTGATTCAACTCCCTCATACATCTTTGTCCAAATTCTATGCTTTGATTGTTACTTGGTCTTTATAAATGCCTTGCTTGAACTGGTTGAGCAGGGTAAGAATGTCATAACTTTAGGAGATTTTTAAAAATCTATAGTACGATAAAAATACCAGAAGCCTCCTGCAAAGTAATAACTTCTTTATTAGCCGTTTAATTTAAAGTCCATTACTTAAGAAAAACTGAAAAAGAAGTAATGCATTAATCATCCATCAGCGAAATGGTATGATAGAGATAAAATTTAGCCCCTAAATAAATTAAATTTCTTATAATCAAGACACTGGACATGCACAAATGTAATTATAAAAAAACACATCATTACAACATAACACATCAAGGTTTTGATTGAAATAAAACTAATTTGAAATTAATAATTAAATAAATAGTTTGCAAAAAAGGAAAAATAAAGACCACATACATTATAAAAGAACTCTTTCTACTGGCATGTTAGAATCAATTGAAGTATGTGGATAACTACAACTTATAATAAAATAAATAAAACTAAACACAATATATGCACACTCAACACTTGCTGTTTCAAGAAAGATAAACATAAATATATAGGGAACAGTCTGTTCGAGAGATCGAATGAATTAAAAGAGGTATTAAGATATATAGTTCATTGCCATTACCAATTTAAGTGTTGGAGGAGAGGCTTTAGTCATCTGCAACCATGGCAAGTGAATTTTGCTTTTAGTTTTGCTGGGTAGTTTAACCTGCCAAAAAAGAAAAACGTCAAAAATAGTCACACAACAACACGTTCATAGTACATTATATATGTTAAAAGATAGAATATATATGAATGTAATTGCACATTCCATTTACAAATACACATCCTATCATCCTCGAGTGTTTCATGTATTGAACTAAAAGTAGAACAAACCAAACTATCAAGCACTAACTAAGTGGCCAAGTGAATTAGTCTCTACCAAATATGTAAAGATAGTAAATCAATCCACCATTTGTACTTTCAGATAAAACATGTACATGAAATACAAACATTAAGTATATTCCAAGAAAATTATATGAAAAACTATTAGGTGAAGAACAATAAGAAAGAATAGGAAAAGATAGCATGTGCTGATTCAATATCTAGCTATATGGAACTCTATTTCACGACATGAATATATAGGTAATAATACCAATATTGATGTTCCTAAAACGGACATCCATGCCAATCATATGTTAAAATGATAATAATACATGAACAACCATATTCTTGATGAAGAGCTTATGAGCTATAAACCAGATTAACATTTGGGCATAATTTTTTATTCTTTAGCAAATTGGAGTAAATTGATAACAAAACAAAGGTGACCAATCTAATCAAGACAAAGAGCCTGGCCTGAATTATGTTATAACCGTCATCACTTGGAATGAAAGTGAATGCTCCATTCACACTATGTGCAAGTACAGAGTTGTGAATATAGTTCATAGAACTATTCCAAACTAAGCAATGGACAAGTTTAATTGCCATTGATAGACGAATATCTAAAGAGCTTTAAAATTGGCCAAAAAAGTTAAGATCAATCAAATATAGCAATACAATATACTTGACTGATTATTAGTAAAAAAAAAAAAGGAGATCATTATCAAAAAGGCCATTGGCATCTTTCTAATTTTCTTCTTTTGGCGGGTGGGAGAAGAAATTACAAATAAAAGTGAATCTTGACTTTTGCTTCAAAGAATCAAAGAGCAGTCTCAATAAGTAAAAAATGGTGACAAAAATTTCTTTCCCAAAATGAACACTTCTCGCATGAACTTGTGAGTTCATTAAAAATATTTAGTTATTGAAATTTTACATAGTAGAAGTTTTATAAAGTTCATTATGGAGATTTATTGTTAATATTAAGAGGCTATTTGTGTCACCGCTCCTTTCCTTTTCCTCAAATGGATACTTAAGCATCTTTAAAGTTTCTGCAAAGGGAGAAATAGAAAAGAATACGAAAGGAGAAAAATATCAAATGATTGTATTTGTACTTGCCTCTAAAATAAGGCAGTTGAATAATGACTATCAGAGAGGATGTGTTTTTAAGTTCAACACATTTAACACAATTCGAATTCTATTTTCTGTTTTCATTAGTCATTAGTCTTGTAAAACACATAATAGGGTAAAATAGTAGAACTATTAATTTTCAAAGGAAGTGAATTTTCAGCCAAATAAAACTTTTATAATTTAATAGGCATTATATGAGCAGTAAAAGGAAAAGTTTTTTATCTAGAATTACTCATTTTTATACAAAGATTTTAATATTCAGCTAAGTTTGTTCGTTGTCAATCACATGATCTTACTGAAAAAATATGGAGAAGCAATTACCTGATGTGAGCATATTTCTCTATCAAGGAATAAATCACATCATTCGGCTAGCAATGCTCTGTTAAATTTAACATATTTATAAGAAATCAGTTAAATACGTGACTAATTCAAATTACAATAAAAAATACTCTATTTATTATATCTTAAATGCTTCCACCACTAAGAGAAATAAAATACAATACAAATCAAAATAGGATTATATAGATAATAGATTGCAGAATATCTTTCAAAACTCCACATAATTAATCAAGTGGATCTTCCTAGTATGTACAATGTTGTCTTATACATAACCAAAGATACATTAGTTAACCCAACACATGTTCAATCGCTGGAAACCAAAAAGGGAACCAGAAGATATCGTTTAGTTTAGTAATTGTCTATAAATTTTAAAACACGTATTCATTAATTGAAAACCATTAGATCATCGAAATTCTCCCATGGATCAGTGATCGATGATCTAATTCTATTAATAAAGTGTGTTATTCTAAAAGAATGTGTTTAGAACAATATTTAGAAAGCAACGACATGATCTTCACTACAAAGTTAATACATCGGAATTTGGTAAAAGAAAATTGGAACCAAAATTCAATAATTTTCTAATTATTTTTTATCCCTAGATTTCCTGAAGAATAAATAAAAAAAGGGAGCAGGACACGCACATCCTCTGAATAAGCAGAAGCGTGAAAAAAATATACAAAGAAAAAAAAAGATAATATCCCTGACTATGAGATCTCATCTCTGCACAAAATCAACATGTATAATTTTATCCCTAAGAATTGAGTGAAAATATAGGATCGATACAATTTTTAACTTTCTCGAATTTGTGCACTGTCACATATATGATCATATTGAGAAAATTAGAGCAAAACAACCCCAATTATCTCCCATAAAGCGCTCATGACAAAGACAATGAAGAAGCATGTGAACTAAAAACGAAAAATACTCTAAAAAATATATTACCTCTCTATAATCAATCATAATGCTTGTTCCCAGAGATTCAACCTTTAAGAGCAGCAAATACATGGTAAAAGACCACCATTATCGCCGGCAAATAACTCCAAGATTTGCCCTAAGCTCGTATACCTCATACCAACTCTCTAATTATAAAAAACAAATCAGATATGAAAATAAAGCCCTAATAGAAATTAATGAAAAAAAGAATAAGATTTGGGCAAAAAATTTGAGAGGAACAGACCTGAAAGTTGTAACACCCAACTGCGAAGACGAAGAGAATGAAAAAAAAATTTATTTGAGAGGACAAATTAAGAACCCGAGAAAACCAACATTTCTTGTTGTGGCTTGAAAGAATTTGCGTTTAGAATTGTGTTGAGTTGTTAATCGAAATTACAGTTTTTCCCTTGAGCTAAAATTACAGTTATGCCATTGGTCGACCACACTTGGCTTTTCTATAAAATAGAAATTAAATGCATTACTTTGGAACATGGGAGAAATAGTCAACAGAGAGTTAAGAGTTACTTTTGTCTTATATTAAATGTGAAGATAATAATTATTATGTTGTAATTTTAACAGATTTGTTCCATGGTTGCATCGACTTTTAACATCAACTTTTAGAGCTTCTATTTAAATATTTTCGTTGCAACTATTTTATGCACTTAGTCATTGAGCTGAGGTTGTAGTTACGGACCTACGGCTAGTGTTGGGGTTAATTGCAATCTCAATTTGGAGTCCTTCAACTGTAGCTAACGCATGCCAGCACTTAAAATAAGTCCTCTAATTACTTGAAGTTCTTGCTTCTTGGCATTTCGTTCTTAAAAATCAAGTAACAACCGGTTTTATTAAAATGAAAAAATGAAATTAAAAAGAAAACACATCGGTAAAAATTCATTTTTACAAATCAAAATTATGTTCTTTTATCCATAATAAAAACCATAGAGTACTTTTGCTATTGTATCATAATCTTTTAATAATTTTTTCTTCATAGCATTGAAAGATTGAAAGTCGAGCATGTTTCAGGGCCATCAATCAAACCAGATATAATAGAATAGTACGAAGTATGAAGCATGGAAAATTAATTATACAAGAATAAGTGTCAATCAAGAATGGATGAATAAATGGAAGTAACTTCATGAATTGAATTTTACAAACTGGACTTAATGAATATAGCTCATTTTTCTTCTTTGTATCCTTCTTTATGGTCAGTCCTAAAGACCAAATTGGATACCAAGAATCTCAAAAGTAACACTAAAATGAAATGAGAAACATTCTTAATGGTTAAGAAAGAAAAAGAGAAGTGCTCACAAAGAGAGCTTCAGCTACTTTCCCTATAGAATTCTTTGTCACAGCTCTCATCATAGTAACAAAACAATCAGTCACCCTTTCGTGACTGTTTAGCTGATTTGTTCATTCCTTAGAGTGGGCGAGTCCTGCGACCGGATGCGCGGCCACAGACAAGAGCATTCTTTGGAATTGGATACTCATCTCTCCATGAATTGGCTGGTGAATAAACACGAAGGTAGAATTGCTGGCCTAAGTACTGGCGAGCCCAGTTCTCTGATCTGATGTTCCACATTCCTACATTGTCCAATGGCATGTATAGGGCTGTCCATGACTTTGGATATACCTGTTGATCAAGTGAAAAAAGAATTGTTAAAACCACCTAAAACAAAGCTGATGAACTTTGTAAATCTTGAACTTGAAAAGTTTAGTTAGGAAATACCTGAATAGTACAACGCGAAATTCCATCTCTCAAGTTGTAGTTCAATCTGCTTGCAGGTGACCATTGTCCACCATCCATCCTGTAGTTCATCCAATCAGTGTTAACAAACTAAAGGCATACGGTTTAATTTATATACGATATTAGTGTATTTTAGCCTATTGTAGCAGGTTAGTTGTCTCCCATTTATTACGGATAGTTACATGTAGTCATCTTTTTAGGCAACCTGATCGTTGTAACAAAGTTAAAATCGGAGGCATAACCCTCCAAAACATTACTTCAACATATTATTGTTCCTTTAGTTTTCATTTCTTTTCCTTTCTAGTTGAAGTGAAGAAACCTACCCTACAACAAAGAAGATATGGCCATCAATATGCCATGACTGCACAATATCTTCTGGATTCTCAAACACAACTTCGACGAAAGCTCTGAAATCAGCAGCCATGACAGAGGTTTGGAGGTAACCACCACCTCCAGTAGGGTTATCTTGGATGCTGCCAAGGTTAAAGACCCCTGGAATCTTGAAGTAGTCTGCAAGTTTGAGTGGTGTGTCTGCTGGAATGAATGACACACTGTTCACTGCATACCTCTTTTTACCATTGATCATTGGTGCAGAATTTGCCAGTCTAATTGTACGCGTAGTGTTAACCAACCCATAGTGATATGAACCTTGTGGATTAGGCCTTGGACCACTAGCTGTCAAATTTTGCCTGCAATCAAAAATGGCTTATAATCAGTTAATCAAACAGACAACAATAGAACAAGAATGCAGGCAGTTCTGATCTTCACTTCAGAAAAAAAATTCGCAATGTACCTAACAGATCGAGCCTGATTGAGAGACCAATCAATCTCAATTGTTGGTCCACCAGGGGGAGTACCAGAAACACTTCCAGCAGAATTGCTGTAATGAAGAATTGATGTTGCTGTTAGCACTTGTGAAGTGAAACGCGTCGATGCAACAATGTAATAGTCCTGCCCTGGTTGGTCCATTGTGACCAATACAGAATAGGACTGACCCAAATGAATATCAATGGACTCATAGGTATTCTGCAGGGTGTGAGTTCCTTCCACTTCTACCAAGACCATCTTGTGCCCCTGGATTCTAAAATTGATAGCTGTTGTGAGGCCAACATTGGATATCCGGAATCTGTAAGTCCTCCCTGTAAAGAAAATTTATCGGAAGAATCCTTTGATACTAACAACATAAAAGCAAGAAATGCGAACTGTTAACTTAGAAAGAGTTGCTGCAATATATAGATTGATCACCTTGATCAACTGTGAAAGTTAAACTATTTGATCCGCGACCATTGATTAGAAGGCCATCAGGAAATGGAAGATCACTTCCTCCATCTAAAATCGCCTTAAGATCCTGTGATATGTCCAATAAGATTTAAAGTCAATAGACGAATCCATAAAATTTCTCAAGAATTGGTTATCATAAGCTACTCACAGTGTGATTTTGCTTGAACCAGTCACCAACCAACATGGTGTATTCTCCAGCAGGTGGAGGAAAAGGAACAGGAATCAATGGACGACTGTCTATTTTAATGCCACCATAACCTCCAGCAGCTTTGTGCATAGCCAGTGAAGGGAAATAGAAGAAACTACCAATCTGGTCCTTAACTTGTAGGATATATGTGAAGTTTTGGCCTGGTGGGATCGGACAGTTTGTCCCGTAAACTCCATCTTGCCACGAATTCCTCCTCTGTTGAATACCATCCCTGCCCAATAGTCGATTTTCATATTTTTATTAACTATATATGGTGAAACATGTTTATTGACGTTTAACTCACTATCCAAGCAGATGACAAACATGAAAATGTAAAATGAGTCTTAAATACAAAGTGATAAACAATAAAATAGTTCCAAATTTGTTAGTCATTACTAAACATTAGAGATTCTCAGCTGATGAATATATTATTCAAGACTTGGATCTTCACATGAATTACTTCAATGAGTTTCAGATCTAGCTGTCATGTTTTGAAAGTGAAAGCCATTTCTTCATGATTATGTAATACCCTATTTAGATAATTCAAAATTGGTCAAGACTACATTATAATATGACATAATAAGATAACAATATCTAATATTACAGCTATATTAAAACAGCAATTCAGACACCACTGTAGCATATTATTGATCTGGTTTTCTACATGTAACTTAAAACAGATTCCAGACTAAGGTTACCAAATCCACAGAAAAAAGCAGTTCACCATTAAAATAAAAAGTAAAAATGCTCATTCAAATAATCATAGAAAGAGAAGTACTTACCAGGACATGAGAAAAGGTTCATCCAAATTGTTGAAAACACTGACAATCAAGTTGTCATTGGTCACACACTCAATTGGTGGTCCTGGAAATTGCCCATTTATCAATATCCCCTGAAATATTCAGAATTTTCCACACATGAAAAGAGGAACACAATGCACATATTTCAATTCCAAACCAATTCTTGATGATATGATAACCAAACAAAATCTTGAGCCGACAGTCTAGCGTAAACAACCTACCTACCTCACCGGGAAAGGTCTGCTTACACATTAACCTACCCAAATCCAGTTGTGGGATATCACTCGGTTTGTTGTTGTTGTTGTTGTTATGATAACCAAACAAAAAGGGGGGGAAAGAGAGCAAATGAAAATACCTGTTGCTTGACACCAAGAGGATAAATATCACCATAAGTAATATTCCAAGTATAGAATCTATATGGGCTTTCTCCATTGGCGAAATCCAATAGGAAAAAGATTGGTACCACCATTAAACACCACCACAAGCTCCTCATTTTATCTTCAACTCTCTTTCTCTACCAGTACACTGGAAGAAGAGAAAGTCTTAGGATATACTACTAAAAAAAGAGAATGCAGATGATATGACAGATCTAACAAAAGCAAGTTACTGTCCACACTCCTAACTTTTTCTTTTTACAACTCTTCTATTTAGTTCTTTTCCTTTTCTTTTTTTCCTCCTTTGCTATATTCCCACTTTCTTTTTCTCACATTAAACTAATGTAAATGAAGAGATAAGTAGAAGATGCTGAAATGGCTTACAAAGATGTAGTTGAGCTGTCTCTGCTCTGCTTTTATATGTGTCTGAACAGAGAAAATGGTGGCCTGTTTTTTGTAAGCAGAGCCGCCACCAATTTGCAAATAGATGCTCTAAAGTCTAAACTGGGACTTGCTTTAATTTAAAGCTCTTAAAATTTGGATCTGCTTCCTCTGTATTAAAGTTTTTTCTCCATTTTCATTTCTTGTGAGGAATTCTTTATCTTGTTTCATTTTTAAATGTCTAGATTAAAATAATCTAATAAGTATTTTACCCATAATAAAGAGATATATTTTAGAAAAGTAATCTCTAATTTTGGTAAAAATATGAATGTCATTCCTGCAAAATAAACTAAAACCTTGTTTAAGGTTCTAATTTCAGTAATTACTTAAGTCTCCAACTTTGGTTAAAAAAATGATTAGGATTCCTGCGAAATGAATTAAAAACCTTGTTTGAAATTATAATTTCAATAATTATTTAAGTCAATCATTGATTTCAATTTAATTATGTTAAACTACTTAAAATGTTGATAAACAACAATAGAACATGACAGTTGAACACTCTGTG